GTTTATTTCAATTTTTCCTTAGACTTCTCATTTGGGGTTGATGTGGTTTTGTTGCAGTATGTGTGTTTGTGGCCCTGTGACACCTATTATCGAAATATCACTCTTGAATTTGAGAAGCCTTCTATCTGTAAGTAGAAAGTAAGACGGTTAATATTCTTAGTTATTTTCTGGCAACACCAACTTTTTGGTTGTTGAAGCCATTGGTGATTACAAATAACACCCACGCTGCGCTGACTGCCTCGCATCATGTTGTTTTTTGTGAATGTTTTCATTTTTAAGATCCTGCTCATTTTCTGCCTGCTCGTGTTAAAGCCGGTAGGGTTAGTCACCGGGATAATTTCATTTGATATAATTTGTTAGATTTAAAAAACAGAACTCGGTCTTATATCTTTTACTAGCTACGGGCTTAACTGTTAGATAACGGAATTAGGTTCCGTAACAAAGTTGGGTCATATTTTCGCATTTTCAACATAGTTTCGATTAAAGCTGTTGTTCTTAATCCAGACTTCTGCGCTTCTTCCCGTGCCTTTTGGAATTCTTTTCATTATTTTCTTCTGCATTTATCATGCAATATTTTTTGAGCCTGCGGAGACGTTTCCGTTCTACTTTAGCAAAAGTCTTCATGTGATTTACAGGATAAGGCATGGCAGAATTTGACGACTTTGGTTTACTTATACAAATGGCTCGGCGCGAACTAGTCCACCTTTTGGAATCCATGCCGGAAGCCAAAGAACTTGCAGTTGAAGCAAATCTTATGCGTCCTCTTGATGCGATAGTGTCCATGTCCTTGTTGCAGCGCCATAACTGTGTTCGAGTTCAGCAGTTTACAATGAATGATAAACTCCAGTGGGGCGAGGAATATTTCAGGCGCGTGTACATAATGCGACCAACAGTACTGACAGCCAGGTGTATTTCTCGGCATATTCAAGCTGAACCCAACCGGAGATATTCTGTTATTTTTATCCCAAATCGGTCGTATTTGTGTGAGATGGAACTAGAACGGAACGGTGTAATTGGTTTAATCGATGTTTATCATCTCGAACTTCCACTCATTCCTATAGACTCGCATTTGTTCAGTTTAGAGCTTACTGATTTCACAAAGTCGACCATTGTTGATCAGACACTTAATCAGCTTTACAATGTAGCAAAATCGCTTTGGCAGTTACAGACATTATATGGTTTGATACCGACAGTATATGGAGTGGGAGAAGTGAGCGTTCGAACTAACTGCTTGATGAAAAAATTATATGCTGATCTCGGCGAGCCGAGATCTTCACCTGATCAACCTGTAAGTCATATATTTCTATTGGACCGGAACCTAGACTTAACCAGCGTGCTTATGACCGGATTAACTTACGAGTCTATGCTTCATGATATATTTGGGATTAGCTGTGGCAAAGTGAGTTTTGGTGGAAAAGTCGAAAAACGTATCAGGGGCCGTGATATCGAAAAAAGTCGTCTTAAAATTTACGCTCTGAATAACAACGATGTACTGTTTTCTGCTGTTAGGAATATGCATATGACAGCTGTTTTTCCATTTCTGAGTGCAAAGGCGAAAACACTCCAAGCAAGCTATGACAAAGGGTCAAGGTTAGATCAGGTTAAAGAAATGAAAGAATTTGTATCTAACGAACTACTTAATCTCAGACAGCAGCACCGCTTATTGGAACTTCATATTTGTGCTTGTGAAGAAGTGTTGGAAAATTGTAAAGGAATGTCTGATCGCCTTGCTTTGGAACATGCCTTGGTGACAGGAAGTTACGATGCAAATGAAGTAGTAACATTTTTGGATGATATGTTGTGCCAGGAAAGTAATATGTGGCAAGTTTTGCTTTTAGCTTGCTTATGGTCAGTTTGCCAGGATGGATTATCAGCTAAGCATTATTCAGCGTTCCGAACCAGTTTCTTGCGAACTTATGGTCATGAGTTTCTTCCACTTCTCCATACACTTTCACTCCAAGGACTCCTCGCTGAAAAGATCACTTTGCAGTCACCTTCAGTCAAGTCTCTGTCGGCCTCGTGGGCCATTCAGAGACCAACTTTTAAAAACCTATCAAAAAGAATGAATTTACTGCCTGTTTCGGAAGATAAGTCCGAGGACTTCAGATCTCCGAAACGCATGAGCTATGTATATTCTGGTTCATTTACCCCAGCCTTGTGCCAGATCATTGCCGATACTATTGAAAACGGCTGGAATGCATCTGAAATAAAAAAAACATTTGGAGATTGTGTGTTCTGCGATCAAAATTCGTACACTGCCAGTAAACCTCCCGACAGTCGCATTCGTAAAGCAATTTTGGCGTATTTTATTGGGGGTGTTACTTATGCAGAAGTCGCTGCACTGACACTCTTAGCACAGAATAATAACATCCGTATTATAATAGCTGCAACAAACGTTATACACCGTGAACAGTTTATCAGAGATATGGGAAATTTTTGAACCTTATCGCAAGCTGCAGACTAGGATGTCTTGTGAGTTGTCCTTACTAGGTGTTATTTAAATCCAATCTTTTGTTGTTCTGAAGCGTAGTTTGTTTTGTTTTTTGTTCGTTTTGTTTGGAATTGCAGTGAACGTGCAATCAGTTCCTTATGTTCTCTTCTTTTTTTTTATAAGCAGCATTTTGGATGGGAAAGGGTTAGAATTTTGAAAAACCATAAATTTTTTCAAAAAGCCTTTCTTTATCTAAACATTGGAATACAAAATATATTGACAGTGTAGTACATTGAACGAATTAATGATTTTGGTCTAGTCTGCCACGCTAAGGACATCAGAAGCAGTTTTGGTTGGTTCTGAATGACCAGGTGGGTCAACATAGGAGTGGTTTGGGAGTGGATGATAGGAAGTTAGGGAATCTTTTTTTCTTGCAAAGTCTCGTGAAAAATGTTATGGGTATTTGGAAGGGTCAGGATTTCAAAAGTCTAAAAGTGTGAATTAGGAGTTTCTTATTGCATTCAGTGTTCTAGATTGTTAGTATGTTTTTTTTTGCCAATAAATTTTATGTATAAGAAGGGATTTAAGCATGAGGAGAAATATGAATTTTCAAAATGGGTATCTGTTCTTACAAAAGGCAATGTATGTCGTCTTCCTCGCCATTGTGTTTTTTGGTTATTTCTTGAAAATACAGCTGCTTGAAACTGTTTTGAAATAAAAATTTTAGCTGTGTTGAGATCTGAAAGGAAACAAGGTTTTCATAATTTGGTTTTCGAATATCGTCACTTAATTTAAGTTACTGGTTGCAGAAGCCACAAATTTATGTAAAGCACGGAACTTTCCTTGGAAATGAGCTTCCGAAGTTACGATGTTTGAATGAAATATTTTACCCCACGTGGTGGTGCCCTTTTGGTTTTTTGCAAACAGCATTCCGTCAGCTCCTTCGCAAATGTCCTTTGGTTCGCTTCGAAAGGTAGAACCTGTCAAAGTTATACAAACTGCATATCAGCTACTTAACCTACAGGGCATTTTTTCTTTCAGAGAATTAGTAGCACTGGACGATGGTGGCCAAACAGCAGTTGACTGGCGATTGCCTGAATATGCGGAATTTTCTGATGATTCTCCCATCGTTATTTTTCTTCCAGGAATAACTGGTGTGGAGTAGATGACGTTTGCTTTTTTATTACATTTCGTAATGGGGTCAGAATCAGGGAAGATGCGGAATTTGAAGGGATTATTAGTAGAAGTTTCTTGAGTTCACGTGGTAACTTCTTGTTACTGTAATGACCGGGTTCGTTTAAGCAGTTGAATATCATAATTACTCAAAAATCTTGTTCCAAGAAAATAGTTCTGTTGGTGAGGTGCTTTTTACGTAACATAGTTTAAATATTTTCTTACGTAATTTTCTAGTTTGATGAATTTGGCGTCAGTATGTTACCTTTATGGTGGGGTTGAACTTCTTGTGGAGGAAATTCGCTTTTGCCTTAATAATCTCAAAATACCTTTAAACTTGTTTTTGTTTTCAGGTTCTACACATGATTGTGCTTATATTTTGTATTGCGTTCTAGAGTGTGACAGACTTGGATATCGGTCTGTGGTTGTGAATCCGAGAGGTCTTGGTGGAATACCTTTAAAGGTTGTACATCAGCTTTTTACTGGTTACTTTGTGGTCAAGGATTGGGATTGGCTAGTCAATGAATGAATTAGTACTTTAAGAACTTGTTCCATTTATTAAGATACATAAGCGGTGCCACCAAAATTTCTGCCTTTTCTTTGCCGTATACATTAGTATTTTTTTTTTAACATTGTTTTTACTGACTAGTAAGAAGTAGTTTTGCTCATTAATTTTTGTCTGCAATCTAGGAGTTGTTCGTAAAAATATTTTGATAATTATTTCCAATTTCAAGATTTGTAGTATATCATCTTCGTTGGAGGATTGAAATTTTTCTAGAGGAAATTTGTTCTGTCTGAATAGCCGTAAAGCACTTTAAAATTTAGACTGCTCAGATGTACAGTGCAACGTGGACTTCAGATTTAAAACATATATTGAATATCTGTTCCAAAAGATACCCTAATGCTCCAAAAGTTGCTTGCGGGTTTTCAATGGGAGGGTAAGTTGACTCTATTTGCCTTTTCATTCACCTTTCTTGCTCTACTTTTTATGGCTTTTGTTACATTTTTAATGTTGTACATACCTTTTGAGTTATATTTTTTAGCATGATTTTGTGGAATTATCTTGCTGAGTGTCAAACGTCTGAGAACACAGGTTTAAAAGCAGCAATGTGTATATCAAGTCCGTTTGATCCTGTTGACTCATCGTTGTCGATTGAACGTTTCTTTCCTCGAGTCGTTTTCAATCGTCATCTTGCTAATGGCTTGAAACGGCTGGTTACTCCGTACGGTTTTTCTTCGCTCAAATTTTATAAATATTTTTTATTAGTTGCCCATTTTTTTTTTCAGGAGTATTCTTCAACCAAATGAGTAGTAGTAATGATGAATTTATTTATTTTTTTGATTATGACTATTGTTTTTCGTCATGGAAGTACTTATAGCATTGAAAAGCTGTTTTATACTTTCTAATATTTTAAGCTATAAGATGATGTTCGAAGGTTTGTGTAACTGGGATGAAGTGATGGCAGCGAAAACTGTTCGGGAATTTGACGCATCTTTTACGGCTCCTTTGTTCAAATACAAAAGTTGGGCTGATTATTACCATGATGCGGCTCTTTACTGGAAAGTTTTGCGTATACCAATTCCGACGCTGTGTCTCAATGCCGCAGATGACTGCTTTTCTCCAATAAAATGTACAAGTTACTTAATTTCCACGTTTGCTCCTTACTTTTATCTGTAATTGTCATTTGGGAAACTTTATTTTTTGTCACAAATTTGAGTACTTATTTGGTTTTTATCTTCTAGCTGTTCCATTCAGTGATATCCTGAAGTCTGACCACGTTGCAGTCGTGGTGACCAAGCATGGAGGACATACAGCGTTCATGAAAGATTTCTATCCATCGGCTCCAGGGCTTGTCGAGAACCTTATTTTTCAATTTACACAGATGATATTTTCTTTAAAATGACAATTAGTCTGTGTCATGTGTATAAAGCTTTATTCACTTTTGATTTAGGCACTGATCTTTGTAGTATTCAAATTTGCTTACCACCAATATTTTGATTGTTTTTGAATTAAATTTCTGCACTTGTTAAACTTGTTTTATGCAGCTTTTTACTGTTGTTCCTAATAATATTATTATAAGTTTGTATCCTTGTAATGTAGCTTGTATGTTCGTTTAGAAGTGTTTTTGTCGTTTGTTTCGTCAAGTAATTGCTGTGGCGGAGATGAGGATCTAATTTAAAATTTCTAACATCAATGCAATGCAAAATGGTAGAACTATTTGTGCTTTACATCGAAATTGTTTCATTTGTGCAACTGGTATGTAGTTAAGGGGTAAGAGTTTGATTGGCTTTATACGCTATTGGTTTTGTCCTGGAATAAATTTTGATATCTAGGGAAGAAGTCCCAATTTAAAAAGCAAACCTCAAGGAAGAAAAGTCACTGTAGTTGTTAAACCGGTGGTTTTGCTGGGACATATACAAGCAGTGTGTGAGATTCGATTAAGGTATCTTAGTCGCGGATAAGTTCGTTTAATGCAGGGTGATGAGCTATTTTTTTTACAGATGAATCGGTTCAGATATTACAATTACAAGTGAGTTAGTCGGCTCCTGGTTGCTTTTGACTTGAATCGGTGAATCGGGTGAATCGCCGGATGGAAATGGCACTTGATGTTCGTAATTTTCGCTGCTTGGCATTGGTTCAACCATTGGGCAATAAGATTATAGCATTTGATAAGGACAAACAAGCGTTATCAGTTTTCTGGAGGATGTTGCAGATAAATTACGCTATGACTGCTCC